GAACTGGCGGGGGGGGGGGGGAGGAGAATGTTATAGTCTATAATTGTTAATGTGAAGATTATTCAGACCTACTATAGATGGCATAGATTTCCCACTGTTTGAATTTAATAAAATAACTATTTTTAAAAATCCAGCGTGACTATATTTTTTGCAAGTGTGTTGACTTGGGGGGTTTCTATTTTATATGTGTGTTGACTTAGATAAGCTGCCAACAGACAGAGGAAAACTAGTGATGGAGCATATCTTCAAACTGCAAGAGTTCTGTAACAGCATGGTTAAGCTTTGCCTAGATGGCTACGAATATGCGTATTTGAAAGCAATCGTCCTCTTCAGTCCTGGTATGTAATTATTCCAAACGTAAAAATTTAATCTGTGCTATTTTTTGCCATATAACTTCTGCCTGTTTCATTATATGCAGTTAGTGTCACCTGTAGAATTACTGCCTCACTTGTTGAATCTTGGAAGGTGTGTAATGAGGACTGTAGGAAGAGGAGGGTTAATCTTTTATGTAAATAGCTGAAGGCTGCTTTGGAGGCTTAAGTTAAGGACTGCCTTTCTAGGGTACTTTTTCTGAGGACGTGCAGTTTAGTCTTCGGAAGTGTTGCTCTTGCACATGCAGCTGAGATGAATTGAAGTTGGGTCCAGTAAAAGTGACAGCATCAGCACGAATTCATGGTACTCATCTAAATGCACAACAAAACCTACATACCTTCCATTGCTTTTTGCATTTGTTTTTTCTTTTTTTGTTTAATATTGCATTAATGGAAGACTTCTCAGATGAAAGACATTCTTGTAAATAAGAGGCAGTGTAAGTAGTGTCAGAACCCTCCAGGAAAGATGATGAGTTCCCGGAGGATATTCCAGTGCTATTCTTCTAATGTGGATCACTACGGAAAATCAGATCCTGAGTGTTTTCACTATAGAACATAATCCTGCTGTCAGTCCTCGTGACTAGGAGAGTCTTGCATGGGTTTATGTGTTTGCTTCTACAGCACAGGAATGATTTCAGTTTTCTGATAAGCAGGACCCACCATGAGTTTTAACTGCAATATTAAGAGCACTGGAAAACCTGTTTGCAATTTGTCTTTTCTGCTGAGGACTAAAGGGTTGCCTGGACTTTTCACCGTTACTTCAAAAGAGGCAGAGACTTTCTTTTAAGTGGAGGGTGGGAGGGTGTTTGCTTGTTTAATTTTAGTAGATAATGCTTGCAGGAGATGTAATTCTGCTTTAGGTGTTCCTTACCCCAAAATGGTTCTTCCATGGTATTTCCATACTCAGAACTGGTACAGGATGCTCCAGGAAAGAAACAAAACGATGAAAGAATACCGCGAGCCCATTTTCTTGCACGTCTACGAGGATTTATGACAGAATCTTTTGGCCTGTCTGAAGAAATCAGTCCTGTTAGACACCAGAAAATACTTTTCTAGGAACCTTACACTTGCAAAGCAATATTTACCGATTTGTTTAGTCTGAAGTTAGTTTGTCTTTCCGATTAGATTTGACAACACAAAAGGTAGAAGGAAAAATATCCAGGGAAAAGGCTATATCCAGTCACATGATTGAGATGAATTTTCTTTAGCTCACATGCTTTCAGGATCACATTCCTACTGATGTGTAGCTGCTTTAATGGCACTGTATTGTCAATATTCTTGATCCTATGAGCCATATAACAAAATCTTCATGCATCTGAAAGTCATGTTTGGTACCTTGAACAGAAGGGATGTTCTGGCGATGATTCACAGGCCAGAAATTACAATTTCAGGGATTTTACTGCTCTGCTACAGGATGGGGCTGGGCTGCATGTGCAGCAGAGTCTGCTGATAGGCCCTGCTGATTTGAGGTCTTCTGTAGCTGAAAACTTGAAGATTACTGAAAATCTTCTGTGCCCAGCCAGCTGTTTGACTGTCACAAGACAGCCTTGGGGAAAGAGATGAGTGTAAAGGAAGTGTCTGGAAGACTTTGCATCTTTGTAAATGGCTGCTCGTGTACTAGCAGTATCTTCAAATTACTGTTTCCAGAAGTTGATTTCTAGCTATATTTCTGACATTGCTCTAAAAGCAGTGTCATGAAGCGATGCATATTGCATGTCAGTGACAAATCTTCAAACTGTGTTGCTTCTTTACGAACTTACTAACCTCTTGTCTTCTACATAAATTTGAAATCATGCTTTCAAAATGACTGAGTTACTATATAGGACAAAATATTTCTTTGTGAAATGATGTGTTCAAGGCAGTCCAATGTATCACGTAACTGCTAAATTGTTCTGAAAGCTTCTATATCTGCAGAGCTAGACCAAAACCTGCTGGTTTTGTTGACAGAAGGCCATATATTTGGAGAAGAGGAGCAGCTGTTAGAAATAATCTTTTATCTCACATCATTTGGCAGCTCATTTATGATCCTGTGTCTGAAAAATACAATT